ACACACACACACACACACACACACACACACACACACACACACACACAACTTTTAAGCTCCCTTTTATGTATTGTCTTCCACAATTAAAATGCAAGCTCCTTCAGCAGAAGAACTCTTTTTTATTATGTTTGTATCCTCAGCATTCAGCACAGCAACTGGCACACAGTAGGTGCTTAAAACCTGTTTGCTGTCTATAACCAGAAGGATCCTTAGAAATGTTCATATTGCAAAGGGAGAACTAAGGCCCTGAGATGAAAAGTGTTTTGGCCAAAGTCACATGGCATCAGGCAAATTGAGGACTCAATCCTAGGTTTCTTTCCCTGCACGGACCAACCTCAACCCCCTCCCCATTGCCTCTCCCTCTGGAACCTCCCACTATTGTCCCACCGTGAGAGACCCACAAACTGAGTGAAGTCTGACCACCAGCTTTGGGGAGCCTCTGGTGATAGGGGAAACACAAACTCAACTTGAGGAAAGTCCTGGTCATGGACAAGTGGCACAGACCAGTCATAGTGAATCCCAAGTCTGAGTGGAGAGATGTGGAGCCCACTATTAGAAGCTCCTAGTTGAGGGGTAGGTGGAGTACTGTTCTGCTGTCAGACAGTCCCTGGCAGAGGGTACCAACCCAGTGTGGACCCAGTCCCAGTGGGATGGAAAGAGAGGGTTCATGAATAAGTTGACAGAGAGTGAGGTTGGAGAGTTAGGTCATCAGATCATAGGGACCTCTGAGGACAGTGAGTTTCACCAATCCCCTCCTTCCTAGAGAAGGAAACTGAGGGAAAATTTCAATGATCTGCCTGAGGTGACACAGGGAACATGTGGAAGAGGTAGGATTTGAACCCAAATTCTCTGACTCCCAAACCAGAGTTCTTTCTAACGCATTGCACTCAGCCATGCTCCTAGACCCAAGGGACAACCTCCCGGGGTGTAAGCCCTGGAACCAGACTCCTGCCCTCTTCCTCTGAGTCATCTTGGGTACTGACTTCTGCCATGTAGGGACTAGTGGAGGGCAGTCACCCCCACCCAAACTCTCTGGCAGAGCCAAGAATGAGTCTCTGGGGTTGGCACCCTCAGGTTAGGTTAATGGGCCCCAAAGACTAGCTCGTTATGATGCCCCTAGGAGAGAAGGGGAGTTTCCTGGACACCTGGTGCTGGCTGACTTCACCATTCAGACCTGGCCCCAGAGTGTCCCAGTAAGAGAGGTAACCCATCAAGGCTATGATAAAGAAAGCCAGTAAGTGCTTTGAAGATGGGAGGGGGAAGGAGACACATCCAGAACTGGAAGGATGATGTGGAAATATCTCATCTGACCTTTCACAGAAAGGTACACCGAGATCCAGATAATGGAAGATGCTAGCCTAAGGCAAATGGTTAGATTTGAAAGTCATGGGATGATGGGACTTTCAGCTGCGAAGTAGCTGAGGCCATCTAGTCCAATTCCATTTTTTTTTTCAGAGAAAGAAACTGAGGCCCAGGGACATCAGCAACTTACCCAATTTCCACAGAAGTCTTATAATTATAGGGACTATTTGGTTAAGAAATCTTTGGGACTGGGAAGCAGGAGTCAGTAGACTCCTGCTGACCAGGATGGAAATCCTCCAGGGTTCCTCTCTTCTACCTTTAGGCTGGTGGAACTCTGACAAACCAGTCCCTCCCATTACAGGCCCTCCCTGTAACAGTCCCTCCCATTTCATAGTCAGAAGTCAAGCACCCGATTTTTTGATTCCTGATGATGTGTTCTTTCCAACATCCCTCCAGGCTTCTCTAGCCCAGATTTTCATGGCTGATGACCCCACCCCTCAACTCTGAGTGGTTTTCTCATCTCTTAGAGTCACCTTCTGTATTTTTTTTGCCATGACGATCCAAAGTGGATTTCTTGTGAACAATGATGGCACTAGCACAATTTTTCGCATCCCCAACTTCTTCCCCATTAGAACCTTACCTCCTTTGGAAATGAGTCTTCAGCTCCAAACCATGCTGAAACAAGAATTCTGCCTCCTCTGATCCAGCTCCTCTTTGTTTTCCCCCATTAAAATATTAGCTCCTTGTGGGCAGGACTATCTTGCTTTGTTTGTATGTGCATTTCCATCACATGCCTGGCACACAGTTAAGTGCTTAATACTGTAAATGCTCTGTGTGTGTGTGCACACATGTGCGTGCACACACGTCCTCTCCCTTTCTTCTTCTCTGTGTCTGTCTCTGTGTCCATCTCTCTCTTTGTATCTGTCTCTGTGTCTCT